TTGAACTTAGTGATTGTATCACAAATACGGATAGTAATTGGTAACCTGTTCCACAATAGACTGTATCGTATTATAAAGAAATTACAACGCAATGATTTCTTGTGTTTTTCCGTTAATAGTGTATATACGTTGTTTCGAAGTCTGTGAGCACGGTCGTTGTTCAAATTTGGACGGTATTTTACGAACGAAAGAACATTTATTAGTTCAAAGAGGAGCATTAGGTTGTTTTTGAGACGACGGCGCCATAGAGGTTCTAGGGAAAGATGCTTGCATCTTTCTGTGTAGTTGAGATTATGGCTCAATCCGAGCAGTCGCTGGGTGAAGCTTCTTAATACATTTTCTACTCACATTTTGTCCATGATCTTCAAGTTTGAAAAGATGAGTGAACAATATTCAAGTGTGTGGAAGCATGTCTTCGAAGACGTTTCCGTATATGACCTAGCTTATATAAGTCCTTAGGAATTCTTGGTCTCCAGGATTCTAAAGGTGCAAATTTGTTGAAAATGCTATCTGTGTTGTGATAAAATACATTTATCAGTTCATCAGTAATGTTTGCGGTAAAGTAGTTTGTCCAGTCAAGGCTTCTGAGGCAATTGCGGAAGTTTGACCAATCAATACTACGAAAGTCCCTACGAAGTGTAGTGGATTTTTATTTTATAGTTGTAGCTCCTATATCAAGGCTGCATATGACTATATTATGATCGCTACCTGGGAACTTTTTTCCAACATATACAGTGTGAGGAATGAGATTGCTGGTAAAAACAAAATCCAATGTATTTTGATTTCTGGTTGGGCTGTTAACATGTTGAGTCCACTCTCCAAGCTCTAAGTATTTAATAAATGATTCGAATCGTCTAGGTGCTTTGATTGGGAACCAAGAGATTTCAGGCATGTTGAAGTCCCCACAAATAGCCTTGCTTGTGAACGGTAGGGATGAAACAAACGTGAATACTTCTGACAGTAATGCTAGATCTTCTGTTGGTGCATTAGGCTGTCGGTAGACACAGCCGAACAGTGAGGAAACGGCATTTGACGGTTTCAGAACGATTCACACAGAGTCTAGCCTCAACCCTAGGCAATAAGCCAGCAAAACTGCGGATTTTGCAAACTTTATAGTATTCCTAACAGTATGGAGCAGTGGGTGAGTGTAAGAAAAGGAAACGGTAATACGACACCTCCAAAAACGCTACAAGTTAGGAACAAGGGTGTTACATAGAACCCACTAATAGTGTTTAATGTTCTAGTCCCGGAGGGTAGCTTACTGGAAAGTAGGGCAGATACTGCTCAGTGCTTATAATGAGCAGTACCTCTCAAAAATATTCCATCTGTTCAAAATTCAGAACATATATAAATGGGAAGCGCTCCGATGACAGTAATCTTAGACTCATCACAAGTTATCGAATAAATCCTTCTAACGTCTCAGAGACCATCGATGAAGCTGTCCTCCTGAATCTGAGTCTGTTGGGGAAGCTAGATCCGCAGAAATCATTCGATAAAGATCCCAATTTTGGATTTTTTATGTTTTCGTGCATAAGTTGACTAGTTGACACTGAGATCGCATTTCCCACTCGGAAAATCCTTGACTGTCATTGGTTGATGAACTATTTTAGTACGCTATTTTTGTGGCTCTCATAAGGACGTTTCTATCATATATGAATAAACTCGATTTGTGTGCTCATCAGCCTCGTATTGCTGGATTCTTGTGGAATACACTTTCTACACCTTATCAAGCAACCCCTGCTTGATATAGTTAGCTGGACTACGGACAAACGGATTAGAATAGCCTATCGTGTCACTGTACCATTTTTCTCCACGTCTTTTACCGATTAGGGTGAACTCGTAATATTTTCAAGCATATCAGTTGACGAGTACATCAGAGTCAGGCACAACAAATCGCGGTCTGTACGAGCGTCAATCGAGACATAATGTGCATCTAAGAGCAGACCAGTATGGCAGTTAAAATAGTGCCCAGGCTGATTAGTGGTATCTTGGATGTAGCCCAGGCACTTAATACGCAAAAAAGGCAGTGGTTATCACGTAGCATGGATCTTCACACAACCATACCATTTAGCATTTTCAGGCTTCCTTTTTCCGTCGCCCCTCACGACTGTTAAGTCTTCATGTTTGATGGCTGTGGATCTCAGAAATCGGGAAGACATAACTGAGGCGCTTCAGACTTCACACAGCATGAAGAAACACCTCTGAAGTCACAGTAGATGTTGCGAGAGCCGACCTAGATCTGTGAGACAACAAGAAGGAGGCCTAAGACAAGCACACGGTAATGTCAGGTGACCTCGATAGACAATCTAAGGTACAAGACACGAAGATCATGGTCTTGCAGTACATTAAACAAGCCAGAAACCTGTTGTGGCCAGTTCCCATAGAACTTAACAGTTTGATTTGAACAACTTGTTAGAAAATCCTACTACGGCTCTTGCTGCAGAGGTGCACCATGTGATGAGACAAATCATCACCTGCCTCCATAGCAATTCAAGGGGACTGGGAGTTAATGTTCAGGAATATGCGCTCTCATATGGATCTGAAGATCATAATCCTAGCTGAAACATGACTATTTCCTGACATTGCAGATAATGAAGTTAGCTTTCAAGGCATGACACGTCTCATGAGATAGGGCACTCAAAACACTAGGTGGAGTGGCTATATATGATAACAGCCATTGTATAGCCGGAAGACGACACGGCATCAAACCAACAGATGTGACATAATCATGCTGATGTTCTTTCGACACAAATGGCAGAAAATACTTGATTGGAGGCATTTACTGGCACTCTCCAGGTACTAAAGATCAGAAACATAAACTGATTGAAATAATAGCGCAACTGAAACTCCTTGAGTTTAATCAGATATCTTACCTGGAGATTTAAACAGTCCGTCTGTCAATCCCAGAAACAAGCATATAACTCTCACTGGTTGGTTTCTGAGGTGACTTGGCAAAGCCATCAAAAGTTGCGAAGTTAACTAGCATGTATGCATCGTGACTAGATAGACTATGGATGGAAAGCCCCCAGACTTGGATTATTTGTTGGCAACTGATCAGCTCTTGGTCGAAGATGTTCAAGCACACACACCAACAGAAAGTAGTAACCGTGGCACAGTCATGTTTAATATGGTCATAAACGAAATAGTCAGGAGGAACGATAACGCGTCCTATCTCCACTACACGTATGCAAACTACAACTGCATTAGAGAGCATCTTCTACTTGTCCCATGACCATGAGAATGGTGTTAGCCAACAACAGATGACCACTGGAAAACAGTGAGAGACATCATACACAATGCTATCCTACTTAATGTTCCTGATGCACATCACTAGGCAAGAGAAGAACGTAGATAAAGCAAGGCACTGAAGGCTTGGTACAGGCGCAAAGAAGGGCCTTGAACACGTGGGAGGTCCCTCTAAAGGATTCCAAAAGTAGTTATTACTTGGCATTCAGAAACAGTTATAACACTAAGGTTAGCAGTGATAGGAGACACTTCAAGACGAAGCTGGCATCCGAAATACAGGTAAATCCAAATATCTGTTTAGGTTCGTGACTAAATGAAAATCTATGAGCCAGGATGTTTGTGTGCAAAAATGTCCAAGTAATTAACATCTTTCCAACCAAGAGATGACTGTGAACTTTAACACCAACCTCACTGATAAGTTAAACCAGGTGCCTACATGTCCAGAATACTGCTCAAACCTAATCCCGGTTGATAGTCTAGAAATTATCCGACTTACTGCTGACTTGGTACTAAGAAAACTACAATCCCTGAGAACAGGATAGCCACCAGGATGAGACATTATTCGTCCTATAGTCTTGAAACGGTGTGCAGATGCCCTCAGTTCCCCAGGATGTGGCCTTTTTAGACATTCACCGGCGTTACAACAACTCCTAGACAGTGGGAAACAAGTTACTCTCTTTAATTTTTAAAGTGGAAGATTGGAAGAAGCCAGCCTGTTATAGATCAGTTGCATTACTACCGATACTATGGAAGGTGATGGAAGTACTGATGATTGTGTAGATGAGGGAACACATGAAATTCGACACGGGTTTCTGAAAGGCAGATCATGTACATCTAGTCTTCTCATAGGATGTGACATTCGGACCACCTGCTGGGATCAAAATACACCAGTTCATGTTATTTTCCTTGACTACGCATAACCCTTCAACACAGTACCTCAAGTACCTCATCATCAACCTAATAGTGAAGGCTGTAAAAACGGGCTTCTCTGATCCACTTCTATCATTCCAAGGTTATTAGAGTGTGAGATGGTGAGTCTCCACATTGGGAGTTTCATAGAGTAACATCTTAGGTCCATTGCTCTTCTTAATATTTACTGATGAATTGTCAGAGGCACTAGTCTACGCAGGCCATGCAAGGATCTGGAGGTCCGTCAGAAGTGAAAGGGATTCGACGGAGCCTCAAAGGGACCTTAAATCAATTGAGGAATAGACAATAAAAAACGGGTTAACACTAAACCAGTCAAAATACCATATTGTGAAATTTGCTAGTTTTTATCGTTGTCGATTCCTCAGACAAGCGACCTATTCTATCTTGATTATTGTCTCTGCTTCCTCTCCCTTGTCTACATATCAGTCCCCTCGCACAATCTTCACTACCAATTATTAAACTAAATTATCTATTTATTTACTTAGTTACGAAATCTTCTTAGCATTACACTGCAACTAACTGATCTCCTGTATGGTAACGTGATAAATACTGACATTCGGAAACCCTAATGCCCTGAAACAAACCTACTCATTAAAATCACGGGACATACGAATTCATTAATAACTACAAAATGACTAGAATTAGTGCAGTAGAGCGCCTAGACTCTCACCCATTTGACAATGTCAGATACCTGGAATCACACCGGGAGAACAAGAATCGAGCGCAAAGAAATCAACTGGTTTATACCATCTCGTTAATAAGATATTAGATATTGGATACCCTTCCAACATACTCATATATTTGATATTGAATGTTGGCGCCATGCAAATATCTCGCTACTACCCGTAGTTATGGTCGATCGCGGCAGTGCATCGGGTTCTCCCGTTATGCACTCCAGATCACGAGTTGATCGTCCTCGAAAAAGGTTGGGGTTGTGCACTTAATTCGTTTTGTCGAGTGTTTACTTCTTTCATGCACAGCTAGCCATATCTTTCGTTTAAGAAGTCGCAGAAGTGCAACCCCAGGATGATTAAATAAGTACGAATGATTTATTAGTCTGATGTTTGCATCAACCCAAACTTAAGTACCTGTATTCAATCTTTTCAGGCACCGAGATAGTAGCAGTGCCTCAAGTCGAGCCAGTTCCCCTGGTTCTTTCCTAGTCAGTGAGATCAAACGCAATGGGCGAAACGAAGATATTCGTAGGCGCGATGAACAAAGAGCTGAAGAAGACCGGATTCTGTAAGTCCACCCTAGTTTTATTTTTTTCCTGATGGCTCCCACTCTTAATATAGTACTACTCCGACACATATGCCATTTTCCCATGGTAATTGGTGTCAGGCACTCGAAAAAGTATATCAGGAATCTAACATCCCAATTGGAGTAGTTTGAGTTACGCGATAATCGGAAAATTGAATAGTTTTAGCTGCTTGGTGACTTGGTTTACATTATAGCTCGTTTATACTCAATTGTGATACGGATTAGCAGCATCGCCCTGCGTAGTTTCTCAAAGCTAAATATTTTGTGAAACGGTTTTCAGAATGTCCGTTATAAAGAATAATAAAATGTACTGTGCATTTGGTAAAGCCTTTGTAGTTACGTACCTTTAGCTTACTTATTAGTCGCACCACTCGTTTTTATATTGATAAAAAGTTGTTTGCTTTAAAATTACGATTTTATTCTATTGCAGGCATCCATAAATCATTCCCACAACTATAAACACCAAAGACCTTCGGGGTCATCCATTTCACTAACTGGCATACTAAGTTTATTTCTGAAAATTCGCCTTTCTGCTTTATAACCAAATTACTTTGAGTTTTCTGCACAATCATTTTACTGAGTATCAGACGTCACAAAGCACCTACTAGTCATGTGTTTTTGATCAATAAAGTTTGCGTTACAACTTGTCCTTACGTTGTAGCAATTGCAGGAAATCTCGTTAACTATTGGTTCATTAATTATTTTTAAAATAGTTGTCTCTTTCAATAAGTTAGCGTGATAATTTAAATGCTTATTAACAGCTAGGTTTCTGTTCCGAACTCCACACCATGCATCTGGGTTTTGATATCCAGTTTGTTCCCATAGACTCTGTGAAATTCACGTTATTGCTGGTTACTTTAACATGTAGCGGACTTTTTCAGTTAGCATGTCACAATTATAGGCAGCCAATGGTAGAATAATTGATATATTCAGTCCAAAATCTTAATGACGGTATTTATTATTAGTATCTAGTCGTTTGAAAATTTCAGATTTCCAAATTAAACTTGTAGACTTTATATAACTAGAACTTGTTTTAAAATTTATTCCTAATCTAACCCTCGTTTAATCTGAATTTTTAACACTTTAGGCGTCAACGGTGGGCAGAATCCAAACTTCTTGAAGAGGAAGTTGCTCGACGCTTGGAGCGTTACTTAGACTCTGAGCTAGCAAAGTTGCTTGTTTTACGAAGAGTTCAGTTTAATGCTGAAGTTGAACGACGAGTGGAAGCTGAACGAACTGAAGTATTACGCCGAAGAGCTGAAGAAGCTGAACGTAAAGCTAAAGAAGAAGCAGAGGCTTTACAACGCCGTGAAGTACGTCTCACTGTAATAACGTCTCATATAACAGCTTATATACTTGTTCTATTTATATCTGAATGAAATTTTAACTAAAAATCATATCAATAGAAGCAAATTTTGCATTTATATACCATGTACTAGGTCCTTAGGAGAACAGATAGCAGCAATGTCTTAATATCCCGAAAAAATAGTTTAAAAACTTAAGAATAATAACTCTCTAATACTTGTGAGTATATAACCAAAAACGCAAATAATTGTGGTGCTTTTTAATATTTGGACACCAATGGAAATTCAGGGAAACTAATCTTACCTTTGCACAACCTTTGAGTCAAGAGGGTGGACAGTCAATATCAAGTTTGTGTTTAAACTGAGCATGCATCCAGTAATGAAGAGCCTAACAAATGTGTATTGTTCCAAGCTGCCACACTGCATCAACATGACAAGATGAACAGTCGGTTAGATGCTCTGAAATTTACCCTGTTCGGCTCCGAACGCTGTGAGGAACAGAGTCAACCTATAAGTAGACTGATAAAAAGCCTATGCATTGATCACAAGAAGTGGTGTATAGGGAGAGCAAAAGAGTTGGAAAATAAAGCGACAATGCGTGACAGGAAACGTGTTTTCGGAATCTGGCTGTCAGTGAAGCTATCTCGGAACCGTTGTTCACAGTTCTAAGAATTGAATTAATGAGCAGAACACTTGAGGATGCAGTTCATTCAGTCTTCGGCTACACATTAGCTACTACCCTAACCACCTCCAGGCAATCTAAGTGACAACTTGGTATAAGTCCTCGAACTCTTAGTAAAGTTAAGAGGGCTGTAAGCAATTTAAAGCAAGAGAGAACAGCAAGCACTGATGGATTAACCTCTGAAATTGTTAAAGGTGGCTCAGTTTTAGCACTAAGATCAACTGAAATTCTAACCAGCACCTGGCAGACAGAGAGATACAACTCAGAACTTCGTACGTAAGTACATCAGTTCAGATTGTCATACCACATTAAGAAAGAGATGCAACTGTCAGTTCAAATCCAATAGTGGTAGTGATAGTAGAAGTATTAGCAGTAATGGAGAAAATTAGGGAGCGAATATATGATTCGAGAAGTATAATTCAGTGAGATAAATTTAGGAGAAAAATAGAGGTGATGAGGAATTCAGAAGGTTAGAATTTGAGAGAACACAAAAAGTGGATGCACTCGCGCTATTGCTAAATCGTTTCCAATGGAGTACCAGCACCTGGCAGCTGGACATAGTTGCATCTTGCTGGTCTCAATCGCTGATCGTTCTATCTCAGATCATAAAAATCCTCTTGTAATAGTCATTTATTTTGGGAGTCTCATTATTTCTTCTGATATACAGAAGACTCGATTGGCTTGAGACAACTTGTGGCGTAGAGGTGATATCCGTCTACCAACTAAAAGACATGTTTACTCCACAGCAGTTCGTTCTGTTCTACTTTATGTATGCGAAACGTGGACAGAGACGTCAGTTACGTCTCTGGGCTGACGTGGTATGGCAACCTAAACTGATGTACTTATGTACGAAGTTCTGGGTTGTATCTGTCTGTCTGTCTAATAAGAATAGGGGATATAAGGAAGTAACGAGTGTTCAATCATGTTACTCTAAAAGTTTATTTAATCTTAAGTGACAATTAATCAAGCTGAATACGCTCAAGCAGATCACGGTATTCCTTGTTCATAATCAAAACTAATGTACTCTTCAATCACTTGCTTTTTCACATTAAGTCATTTCTTTACTTATAGGAAGAAGAAAAGCGATTAAAAGAGCTCAGTGAACGTTTAGCTCAAGAAAGGGAACGCGAACTCAACGAACAAAGGCGTTTAGAAGTAAGAAATCGTTTTATAGTTGTGTTTTTATATATATATTTACAAATGATTCGCATATTTTGCTTGGACTAACGTATTTTATGAAAGCTAAAAACCAAAGGCGTTTTGGCCCACAATAATTGTTGCTGAAATCAGGGTTTTAATTGATGGATCGATTACTGGCTTGATAGTTTCAAATAGTAATTGATATCAGATGTTTTGTAATTGAGCATAAATATGTACTTACTAGGGAGAGAGTTGAATCCATCAGCTTTCTTTCACTGAATTACCGGAGGTTGTGAACAGTCATTGGATACTCAGCCACTACATTCGACCAAACAAGCTTTCCGATAATCATACATCGTTTTATGCTATTGTAACACAAAATTCCTAATTTTGATTTTTCGACTAAATGTTCTATTTAACTCTAATTAAAATTACTGATTAGGGTACAAATGTATTTAGAGTGTGCTACAAGGAAAGCAATTTTTTTTAAATTAATTTTTTTCATATAGGAAGAAGCTGAGCGTAAACGTTGTGAAGCAGAACTACGTGAACTTGAGGAACGTCAGCGACGAGAAGCTGAAGAACTTCAACGCATCAAACGAGAACAAGAAATTATTTTAAATAAAAAACGAATTCGACCAAAATTATCGTTTACACTTAAAAAGTGAATGTGTTTCCTTTTTTTTTCTTTTCACATCAAGTCCATAATTTTATCATTTATCTTTTTTTATCTTGTTATTATGCTTTATTTCCCATACTGGTCATTTTATCAACCGAAATAACCTGAAATACATGCTCATACTGGTATTATATATATATATATATATATATATATATATATATATATATATATATATATATATATATATATATATAGGTGACTTGCAACGTTTTAACTGTTGGCATACTCCCTATGAATAAGTTAAAGTTTTTTATTTACCAAACATGTCTAGTTATCTGTGTATATACAACATTGTATTTCCTTCATTTTGGGTTAATTCCTTTTGTGTATTTGTGAATTTTCCATGCTCTTCAATTTTCCCTGTGTTCATAGTCACATTTTGTACATAAATAAATTAAACTGCTTTTACAATAATAATTAGACGAATTAAGAAAAGATGTGCTACACTTGTGATTTCTCATTTCATTCCTTCATTATGTTTTGTATTATTAAATCTTGAAGCACTTAATAGCAAACTAATTCTATTTCTTGTTGTTCGATGTTAAAAGATTTTGAAAATATTACTCATGCTTTTAGAAACAGTTCACTTTCAACTTGAAAGTCAAACACAAAGATTTAGTCTAACTTGTAATGTCTGTGAAGTCAGATTTATGTCTCGGTTAGGGCTATATGACCTTGATAAACTCGACTCTAAGTTATATTATTTTGTTTAAAATCCCACACCAGAAATCAGACAATCAATTTATCATTTCAATATGGAACACTGAACGAAGACCATTACTAATAATATGAGACATATCTACTAACTTACTTAGTGCTTTGTTTAAGTTCACTAGTTAGCAGTTGTCATCCAATGCATTCATCCTCATATGCTCTTACTCCGTATGTACGATTTTTCTTAGAAATATTCTCCCCGGAATATATTCACGTATTCATAGCTCTAAACTCTGTTATGGTGAGTGATGTTTGATACTTGCTCTTCAAGACAATCTTCCAATCGTGCCGAATAAAATGTTCAATATCCGAAAATAAAATAGTGTGATATTCATCTGATACTAATGAGAACAACCTCAATGTCAGCTATCTTCGTTTTAGAACAACACAATAGTTTCTAACATTAAACACTGACTTGTTGAAATTAGTTACGGCTCAAATAACTGAGTTTATCCTGAGCTTTTTGGGCGCAATAACTGTTGGCTAGTTTGCCTGGCAATATGACCCGACTGTAGCTGCTAGCTTGACGTGGTGGTCGGGCTTGCCGATCGTGACGACCCAAACGAGCTATATTGGCTGAAACATATGTCCCTTTAGATCCTACCATGTCAGGCAGGTTGATTAGGAAACGGTGAGACTAAAAGCAGTAACTCAAGGTCTAAGGGTGGAGCCGTGCCACTGACAGCGGTAAGATGTTTCCCTCGGACAGCTAGCACCTGCAGCAATGCTGCCTTCTCACAACAGAAGGAAGGGGTTGGAATAACTCGCTTTTCTCCACCGCTAACCATTCTCACATTCCTTTATCACCTCACACTGTTAATGCAGACAATTCAAGTAAGCGAAACGTTTTTCCTGGTCTCGTGAAACCCCACTCTAAACTACATATTGGAGCGTTTAATGGTCGAACCTGTCAAATAGGCCAACAGCCTTCCCTAGCTAGGACTTAAGAATCTCGCACCATACAGGATCCGAGTAGAATCATTAACTTCACAGTGTCTGGATAAAGAACTAACTCGGTTTACGCTCTGTGTATCTTGAAGCCATGCTGCTGGTTCCTATAGCCTCTCTGGTGTAGGTATAGCACGGAGTCCTAGGGCAGAACTAGCTCTGATTGGATCCCAGTAAATAGTTGCTTATGCTCTCTGACTAGACAGAACAATTAGAATTCGTTACCTTTTCGTCGTCTATGCTTACACTCCTAGTGACTGCAGCTCAGACGTGGTAAAAAATGGGTTTTACAGAAAGCTTTCTAGCCTTCAAAAAGTTAAGCGCTTTGATATAGTAATAGTGACTGGTGATTTTAATGCTTAAATAGGTAGACTAAGTGAAAAAGAAAGGCACCTGGGTGGATCTTATGGTGCAGCTATGCTCAAATAGCCGCCTATTTCTAGCTAATACTGACTAAGCACAAGTAAAAACGTTTTGACAAGACGACACAACAAGGGATCCAACTAGACTACATTATTGTCAGCCACCGGTTGAAATGCTCGATGGAGGACTGCGGCCCACTCTGAAGCACATGTTTAGATTCAGATCATAATTTAGTACGAGCGTGTATTTTCCTGCATCTTACTGGACGTGAGAAGGGCACTGCAAGGAAACCCCTCCGAGTTCTACTTAAATATAGCAAAGCTAAGAATATATTTCAGTAGCAACTAGAAAAACTCAGCAGCAGCCACATGAGTGATGCCTAACTTGAGGCAGCTTGAAATGATATTCAAAAAGCTGTGGAAACAGCAGTGATATCTGCCAATAAGTTATCCCGAAAGCTTAGGGAGAAACAGTGGATTTCAGTAGCATCTATTGAATTGACAGACACTCGGAAACTCATCCCGTCTGAACATGACGAATATTGTAGTCAGCTTAAGCACAGGCCCATAAGGAGCTTACACAATGATGGCGAATAGTGGTGGGTAGCGGAAGCGAGAGGTGGACAAGGTAGCAACGATAAGTAACAGTAGATAACTATTCGGGATTATCAAGGAAACCGGAACTCGGAATCTGACTGTAGGTGGGATAGAGATAGAACGGCGGGCCCTGATAGGTCAACCTCTGAGATTTTTAAGGATGATGGTCCAGGTTTTTCAGTGACATTGGCTGATATCTCAGGTAGGATCTGGGAATCGCATGTAACCCCATTCGTCTGGTCTCAATCTCTGGTTGTTTCGGTCTTTACAAAAGGAAAAAAATCCTCTTGTGACATTCACAGGCGAATCACTTTAACTAATATAGTGTCTGAAATTTTAGCCTCGAAATACTTCAACTCCTAGCTAGAGCTCGTGAAGAGCAGACTCCGGAAATCCAGGTTGGTTTCCAACCTGGACTTGACTGTATAGACCAGATATTCACACTACGTCAGGTCCTAGAACATGGACACACGTCCAGACATCCCACATTAGTACTGTTTCTCGACCTTAAAGCAGCATTTGACTCTGTCGGTTGTGAGGCTCTATGGCAGTGTCTGTCATTAAGGGGTGTACCAAAGAAGCACCTTAACCTTATAGAAGCTCTCTACTCGGACGCCACTGTCCGAATGAGAGCTTATGGCGGACTGTCGTCGGAATAGATTGGTTCAAGTGGTGTACGTTAGGGCTTTCGGCTTTCCCCATTCTTATTCAACTTTGTCATTGACATGCTTTTAGATACGACTTATTCATCATCCGACTTTTCCGGAGTTGGGGGTTTACCGGGAGATTCCTTATTAACTTAGAATATTTCGATGAAATAGTTCTATTTGGTGAAGACGCTGACAAAATGCAGTCTTCTGACCACTCTAAGCAACAAAAGAAGCACGTTCATGATGCGAATCTCCCCCTCGAAATGCAAAATGTTGTTTCAGGATTGGCTGGCATCGGCACCTGAACTAGCGATTGGGAGCGAATTAGTTGAGCATATCAACCACTCACTTATCTTGGGAGTCTCATCGGTGCTAACGATCTGGTGTTTGACTAAATCTCAGCACGGATACAAAAGGCTCAATTGGCTTTTGTCAACTTGCGTCACTTATTGCGTAGGCGAGAGATCCGTTTGTTAACCGAAGGACGAGTCTGCTTAGCAGGAGTTGTCTCTGTCCTACTATACAGGTGTGAAACATCAATACTAAGAGTAGAGAATATTTGTAGGTTACTGGTTTTCATTCATAGGTGTCTCCAAAGCATTTTTCCTATATCCTGGGACAATCGTGTAAGCAATGTTTGTGTTAGAAATAGGATATTAGGTAAGGATGGCAGATCATTCGATGAAGTAGTGGAACTTCATCATTTGAGGTGGTTAGGACAGGTGCTACGTATGCTCAACAACCGATCATTAGAGACCTTGAATGACATGGTCCAAAACTGTATACGATGTCACAGGTGCATCCATTCTTTGTCTTCTCTCAGATTCTAATCTTCTGAATCCCTCATCACCTCTATCGTCCGTTTATTAAATTTATTTCACTGGATTACACTTTTTAAATAATATCTTTGAACCCTAATCTTCTCCATTACGGCTAAATACTTCTACTACATCTACCACTAGGGTATTTTAATTGACGATTGCGTCTCTTTGCTAATATGGTATGGCAACTTGAACTGACCTACCCACTTACGTAACAAGATCCGTGAATAAAATATTTGGAGAAAAAAGTGTTAACCAGATGTGAAATTCATAGGCAAATGTTAGGAGAATGATAAAAATATATAATTCAATAAATTGACTATTTTGTTGGTTATATTATTGATCTTATGATATCGTCATTGATGAACTGGGTGTATACAATTATTTATTGACTGACTAATCAATGGCTTTTGAAAATTTAATCAATAATCAATGTAAGGCAAATCTATATGAAAGAAATTCATTGAGCTCTAATGGCCAGTCCGGATTTTCGTGTTAAACTTTGTCTTCTTTCAAATTCTAATCTTCTAAATTCCTTATCACCTTCATTTTTCTTTTTCTAAGTTTCGTTTACTGCTGATACTTATGCTACCTCATGGGAGTTGAATTGACAATTGAATCTGTGTGCTAATGTGGTATGGCAACTGTCTTTTGGTGTTAAATAAACATTCATTTAACCAGATCATTTAAATTGTGAATGGAAGGTTGACGAATAAAAATAAATTGACTTTTGGTTGGTCAAGTAAAAGTCAGTCGAATGTACAACATGTCATTAAGTATTGGATAATAACTAGTTCAGTGATTATCCTTTATCAAATATCACTCGATCATGTCAACTGGATAGCCATCTCTATTATTTGATACTTAAAACCAGTTGCTGTGAACCGTTTTATAAAAGTACTGTATTCACTTGTACTGGTTTATAAGTGTCAACCTCTATTAGAGTCAAGTCTCATCCTCAAATTCTAGTCCTCTTCATTTAAATTCCCAAGTTTTTATTATTAGGCTTTTTGAGTAATTACTGATCGCTGACAAAATTAGGACACTTACAGCCTTTATTTAGAGAAAAGTAAGTATTAATAAGTGTCCATACAATCCTCATTAATATTATTCTCAAAAAATGACAGTTCAGTATACTGCATGACATGCTAGTCATTTTGAATAATTGCTAGTCTAGTTCCTAACATTTTGATATTTGTCACCAGTATGTGTTTGCGAATTCGTGATTAGACTGACTTCGGACCTAAGCAATTGAACCCCAATGTTGAAGGCTTGACCGTATTCTGAATGGCTCAACTGTAGTGATTTTGATTCTATCGTTTTGAATATTAAGCGTATATGCTTCCATGGATATGTAAATATTTCTCACTGCTGACGGTGTCTATTTGTAAAAAATTTGCTTCCCGCGCTTTTGTCTGTTCTTCATGATTAATAATGTCAGCTGTTTAGTTACCCAAATTAGCGATTACAATGAGAATTTTCATTAACTAACTACTTACTATCTTTAATGATAGGGAATATTCTGTAGAATTTATCAATTAGTTTGTACACTCATTTAGTTGCCCAGATCATAAAATGTCTTTCGATATCAGTGATAAGTCGAAACGTGGTAATAAGCTTGTAGTGCGAGTACTCTTATGTTGAGTTCAAATGGCTCGTTCTAGCTACAGAAAATCTAATTAACCTTTCCTCCTCGAATTACTGTCCATGTGTCTTCCGACCTGGTGATTTATCCGCTCATATCTTGATTGTTTTTATTTGAGTATGTGTGCGCATGCTTACTTCAGTTATCGCATGTCTGGCTTATGTTTTTCTGACTATAAACGTCTAGTCATGCCTCACTATGTGGAGTTGGTTTGCTCGCCTTCTCTACTTCGCTTCGTTTTGACGCTTCGTATTCTCATGTCTGTCTGCATGAAAGATTGTGTGAAATGGAATCATACAACCGAATTTGTATTTGGCTTCTAATTACTGCCGTTGCACGAACGGGGTTTGCCAGATACGATGTTCGGAAATTTAAGGGGAGCTTTACTTCACAGTATATTGACGGTTCGTAAATATGGAGTCTCATATCGCGGGCCACTAAATTGGTAAGACTTGACTTGTAATACAGCGCACCTACAAAAAGCTGTTTTCTCATTCACTAAATAATTATTGTTGATTTTAGATAAACAACAGTGAAGCGGTTCAAGAAAAAAAAACAAAATTCTATTTCATATTTTTTATCGTTTAAAACATACTTTTTTTGTTAATGTATGCCTAACTTCTGGAATTTGTAGAAATATCTCCTCATTTGTTTTCATTAATTGACAAGATGTCTCTTTATATAATTGTTTACTGACTTCACGATGTACAGCTGTAACTATATCAAGAATACTTTCATTTTGCAATGAATTGTATAATCGTTTACATAATGCTTGTATATAAACAGTACCACCGGTTGGATCTCTTTGTGCACGAAAACCAGCAACAGTTGCATAACTTAATAAAAAATCAGCATAAGTTGGAATCAACTGTACATTGTTCAATTGTTGCAATGACATTGAACTATGAAGTAAATTATCTAATTTGAAACCGATAAATTTTGCATCTGATACTGATAATCTTGGATTTATACTGGATGATTGATATTGAATAAAATGATCGATATTATTATTATTATTATCAGTATTATTCTCGTGATTCATGAAATCATTCTTATTGTGAATCATTTCACTCGATTCTTTTTGGATAACATAACCTTTTTGATAATCTTCACCACGACATGCTTGAATAAAGAATAATTTTGGTTTACCAGCTAGTGAAGGACAGTTGTCAGCTGTAAATATAGAAGTTAATTCATGAATTGATAGCGAATTTCCATCGACACCATAAATACGACCAATAGTTCCATGTGACATAAGACATATAACTAAACAATCATATTCATGATGATTTGTTTTCTTTCCTAAATGTTCCAATTGTACTTGGATTTCATCAGCTGACAGGTTGCGTAATAATTTCACTAGGAAATTAAATGACGCAAAAACTTTTTCTAAACTTTTTTCATCCATATCACAACCAGAACGATTCTGTAAGAAATGAAAAGCAGAAAAACACACTATGAGGGAGCATTATCATCATCATGTTGGAATATTTGAAATCGTTTCAGTTAGATAGTGAGGTGAGGTCAAGGAATATACAAAAACTGGGGACTATTGCTATTTCATATTATATTATGGGTTTGTGGAGATTGTTGAGTTACCAGTGACCAGCTCCGTGAGGGATTTTCTCTGATTTCTAGTGAGAAGTCGTGACCGGTGGAGTTCATCCTTGTTCGGGTGTGAAGCAGTGCTCACCGAAGACAGTGTATGAGGTTGTGCAACCCCATGATATTAACACCACTAGGTACCAGCTCAGCGGCCCAAGGGTTAGGCGTTTGCGCACAAGACCGAAGGTCCTGGGTTCGGATCACGTGAGGTACAAGAGTCGTGGGTGCGCTCTACTGATGAGTCTCATACCAGGACGAAACATCCGTGCAGTGCTTGCAGGTTTTTAGTGGTGGTCTAACATTGATATTTTATACTAGTTAAATTGAAAATCCGAAACTTTTAAAGCTAATTTCTGAAGAGCTGTTTACTATAAACTTTTGATTGATTTGTGAACTGTAAGACGAACAAATTGTACGTCGGTTTACACATAAAGGGGCAGTGTTAGTAGACTCTCTTATTGAACATAAACGGAACATAAACTTGTAATCATAACAAGAAATTAACAGACCAAAAATCAAAGAATTGGAAATAATCAAATCAATCCAAATGGAAACCAAATACATAGAACATAGTCAGTAAAAAAATACACGTTAAAACAGAAAACGAAAAGTATCAAATAAATTTCAAGCTCAACAATTAATTTAACAACATTCATTTGACAAAAATAATTTGTTAATCTTAAAACTTATCAATTTTAATCATCATCATAAGTGGATATATTATTTAAATGATCTTTGAACACTGAAATGTACTAATTGGATGTTTCAATTCAGTCTAAGACTATTCTATTTGTACAACAATCATGATTTTACATGTGATCAAAGTTAAAAATACCAGTGCATTAAATTATGAAGTCAAAATTCAATGATTCATGTTTTCCAATCCCAATCAATTCGTTTAATACTTCGTAAATTCCGATGGATTATTGATTATTTTCGTTTGTCAATAATTGCGCACTGAACATATAAGTTCGTGAGGGTCATTGGGTTTGTCTACTTTTTATTTCAATAAATAAATACGAATTAGTTAGGAGCATTAAATAAAGTACAAATATCCCCATTGGTAATGCAGCACCAAGCATAAAGATTATTGGACACCAACTAACTCAGTGGTTTGAAGTCGATTCGTTAGCTGAAAGTCACGAAGGTCTTGGAATTCGTTTCCTAACGATCATTGTTGATGATTTTTACATAATAGGATATAAAAGTTGTCCACTGCTTTCTCGTTATCAGTGATTGTCTAGTTGATTGCTAGTTTTTGTTTGGAAACTTCAAAAACACTTAAAGTTCTGATGATCAACACATTTTTTTCTTTTCATAGAACACTAACAGTTTACCACGAAGAATACACTTAAATAATCGATTTCAGTGTCATATCAGTCAGTTAGTCAGTTACAAAATAGAACTTCGTACGCAAGTACATCAGTTCAAGGTGCCATACAACATTAGCGCAGAAATGCAACTGTCGATTCAAATCCCATAGTGATAGAGATAGGAGAAGAATCACTGCTAATGGAGAAGATTAGGATTTTAGGATGTTATTCAAAAAGTATAATTTAGTGAGATAAGTTTAGAAAAACAAAACTAGAGGTGTTGACAAATCCAGAAGATTAGGATTTGAGAGAACACAACGAGTGGATGCACCTGCGCCATCACAAACGATTTTGAGCCATGTCGTTCAAGTTCTCTAACCACGCGTTACTATCATCTCGCGGACCCCAACCACGTAGCCTACATCTACCAACATAACTTAGTCCACTCGTCAGTGACTTCATGGATTTGTGCCATGTTTTCGTTTGGCCGCCCCTAGCTTTCTTCTAACTTACTCCTACACCACTAAACATAGCTTGACAGTAACATATTAAAATAATAAGTGTTTTTTTTTTTAAAAAAGTACAATTCTTAACAACTCATCCTCCTCTTAGGTTGCTTTTGATGAAATCACTGATCAACAGTGAATGTAACCCAAATCAACCAATCATATTTCATTTTGAACATTGAATGATTGATTAAATTAAAAAATATTGATTTATAGTTGGATTTTTTTCTTCTAGTCGATAATTGACTTGAACTGGTGATTCGTAGGTTTCTGGACTTATATTATTTTCGCATTCAACTTAAAAAATTATCAGTAGTACAGTAGTTGACAAAGAAATCTCATGAATGATCAAGACACGTTGAATTACCGGCGTTCTGTTTCATTATTCTCAAACTACTTTATCCCAAAATGAGTTACAAACTAATACTTACTCTGACCACTCAATCAATCAATAGCAACGTAAACCTACTTACGTACATCAGTTCATGTCGCCATACCACATCAGCACAGAGATGTATTTGTCAATTCAAATCCCACAGTAGTAGAGGTAGTAAAGTTATTAGTAGTAATCGGAGAGATTAGGATTAGAAGATATTATTCAAGAAGTATAATTCACTGAAATGAATTCAAAGGGAGAAAGATAGAGGTGATGAGGAATTCAGAAGATAAGGATTTGAGATAACACAAGGAGTGGATGCACCTGCGCCATTGCAAACAATTCTGAGCCATGTCATTCAAGGTATCTAACCATCGGTGCCTTTGTCTCGCGGACCTCAACCAGGTAGTCTACAACTATCAACATGACTCAGTCCACTTGTCAGTCACTTCATGCATTTCTGCCATGTTTTGGTCTGGCCACCCCTAGCTATCATCCGACCTATTCCTACACCGCAAAATATAGCTCGACGAGGCAGTTGGTGGTTAGGCATACACAACACATGTCCCAACCACATCGACTGATCAATTTGAAATAAAAAAGTCCTATCTAACTTTAAAATTATAGGATGGAAACTTAAATTCAGACATTGTTTTAGACTAAACTCTCTGTTAAATCAACAACTATTGATATGTGATATCAAAAATTAAATATGAAGTTTTTCTCTTTAAATGAGAATTTATTTTAACTAAAATCAAGTTGTCAAAAAAAATTTTCAAAACTGACAGAAAAAGTGTACATTTGCAATCTAAATGACAAACATTTATGTGAATCGTAAATTATTTCAACGAACTATGACTATAGTACAGGTAAATGAAAAAAAATAGTTTAATAACCATTCAAAGATCGATAAAATGTTCTAGGTAAGCAGGCGGCTGTTACAAACTGGGTATTTTTTAAATATGTATATATATGTATACACTTGTATGTCCCAGTCTATAACCACTGATCTTTATGATCAATGCAACACGTCAGGTCACGAGATATTTATCAATCTCAATCAGTTAATTAGTATAAATTACTTGGAATGCTGTACAAATGTACTTTGGTTAGAAGAGACATATGTCACATCAGTTACATAGAGATGAAATGAAGTCGGTTCATAGTAAAAGAGTTATCGTAATGAAGTTTATAATCGTTAATTAAAACGAATTTAACATAGATAAGGAATGAATTCATGAAACAAAAGAGTTTTACAAAAATATATTAAAATCTATGATGTAAGAAACTATCAAGAATGAATTCGCTTATGTTACTATACTCGGCATAGGCCCATATTATATCAACGATTATCTTATAAAATTTAATGAGGAAGTCTGCTTCTCTATAAACAGCTTAATTAAACAGTTAATGATTTCATGAAGTGATAACATATTGATTAGTAGGGTTATTAAGCATAGAAGTGCGGAGTCCTCTGACTACCCTAAGCAACAATGCAAGCATGTTCGGGATGCGGTTTTCCCCGTCGAAATGCAAAATGTTGCTTCAAGATTGGGTTGCATCGGCACCTGAACTAGTGATAGGGAGTGTAGTAGTCGAGTGTGTAGACTGCTTCACTTATCTGGGGAGCCTCATCAGTGCCGATGGCCTGGTGACTGATGAAATCTCAGCTCGATTGGCTTTTGCCAACCTGCGTCACTTATGGCGTACGCGAGATATCCGTTTGCTGACTAAAGGACGAGTGTACTGCACAGCAGTTCGCTCCGTCTTACTTTATGGCTGTGAAACATGGCCGTTAAGAGTAGAAGATATTCGTCGGTTACTGGTTTTCGATCATAGGTGTCTTCGAAGCACTGCTCATATATCCTGGGACACCTGAGTGAGCAACGCTGTTGTTAGTAAACGGGTGCTAGGTAAGAATGGCAGATCAATCGATGAAGTATTGAAACTTCATCAGTTGAGATGTTTAGGACATGTGTTGCGTATACCTAAACACTGACTGCCTCGACGAGCTATATTTTGTGGTGTAGGAATAGGTCGGATGAAAGCTAGCGGTGGCAAGACCAAAACATGGCATAAATCCATGAAGTCATTGACGAGTGGACTAAGTCATGTCGGTAGGTGTCGACTACCTGGTTTGGGTCCGCGAGATGATAATAAACGATGGTTAGATACCCTGAATGAAGTGACTCAAAACCGTTCGCAATGGTGCCGGTGCATTTATTCTCTGTGTTCTCTCAAATCCTAATCTTCTGGATTCTTCAACCCCTCTAGTTTTGACTTTCTAAAGTTATCTCACTGAATCATACTTCGTGAATAATATCTTCTAATCCTAACCTCTCCGATTACTTCTAATACCTTTACTACCTCTTCTACTATTGGATTTGAATTGACAATGGCGTCTCTGTGCTGATGTGGTATGGCAACATGAACTGATGTACTTACGTACGAAGTTCTACGTTGCATCTGATTGACTGACTGAATGTTTGTACTCATTATTTAAAAATAAGATTTAAAAATTGACTTCATTAAATCTGAATATGTTTAGTGAAGAATCAAATACTTTTTCACCACGTACTAGAATTATTTAAGGAAACTACAGAGAACATAAGAACAAACACATCAATAAGTTGTTTCATCAAAAACAGATAAGTTTACTGCCTCACTGTTATCACATTCGCGACAGTTGAGTATAGTGATCGTTTAATATAATATTTGAATTCCTAAAATGAAAATTCCAATAATTACAAGTAAAACTATATGAAGAGTAATGACAAATCCTTCTGATTTCTAATGGAAACTAATCACTTCTGTTTAACACCAGAAAATATCAGTAATACATACTGATGAACACTGCCTACAATAACCAAAATGCAGTATTGAATAAAAATGTCTAACAACTTTATTCAACCGCCAAAGTACATAACTTCATAGCTGATTTTGCACTTTTATGGTTCCATTCTATAAGTTTTTCATCTAATAAAGCGATTTTGTTGTAAAAGCCATGTTACATATGAGTAATAACATTAATTTGTAGTGAAATACTTTTATGAAGAGAATGTGATTGGTTTCAATACAAACATTCATTATTATAATAATCACTTGTACAAGTGATCCATTAATTGTACTTTTTGTTTATAATACTCTTTAGGCGCAAACTTTCTGTTTGTGTTACTGCCATTCTTTGCTTCGCCTGCTCTTTAAATTCACCCACTTTCCTGGTTTAATATCTGTGTTCTTTCGATACCACGAAATCAGCAGTAAATCTATGCTTTACCCTGGATTTATTTATTTTCTCAGTGACGGGCTCGTAATTAGTATTTAGAGGTGATCATAGTCAATCTCGACTCCGTCACCAATAAAAAAATATATATATATTTTTTTTGTGGTTAGCGTTTTTTTTGGCAAGTTAGTTTTTGACGGGATGAGGTGGCCAACCCCACGCCCAACCCTCCTTCTTTATCTGAGCTTGGGACTAGCAGTAGCCCCGAAGGTTCTACTGGTGCAATTATATATATTATTATTATTATTATTATTATTATTATTATTATTATTATTATTATTAATATATTTCATTTAATCACAACATACCTGAAAATCCGAATGCCAAAACATCATATTATTAATAATCAGACAAATACCTTTTCGTGTACTATTCATCTTGTAATACTCTTCAGAATCATCATCATTCTTATTATTATCATCATCAACATTATCATTATTATTATTATTATTATTATGATTAGTTGTTATTGTGTTATTCTCCATTTTATCAGTAATATTGTAGTTCCCATTAGTAGTTGAAAAGAAAAAATTGAAAATTGAACAGACTGTTAGCTGTAAATCAGAATTATTCAACTTCAATAATTGCTTTTTCTTTTAATGTTTATTACTCATCATCATCTATGAGTACTAACAAGATTTTAAAATTATGTTTAAAATAGGATAGAGATTTGAGTGAACTTCGAATCTCATAGTTTTGAATTGGATCTCGTGTTTGAATTAGTGTCATCGAATGGGAATCAAGTGTTTCAGACGTTTGATTAATTTGATATAATTGTGGACAAAAAAAGGGGATGCCTTAATAATTTTTCTAATGATTCATACCATTTTATAGATTAACACAGAATTCATTGAACACTGTCTAAAATGACCTTGATGAATGAATCTTGTACTATGTAGTTTACTACACATGATAACTGACAACTTCAGTTATACGGTGGTGGAAACTAAAGACTCTGAATAACTTTTCGATAATGTGAATATCTTCACAATAGTACCATATAGCACTCATCGAGTAGTCATTCTAAACTAAGATAATGAAATGTATATTTAGCATGCATTTTGTTCTATTTGGGACTCGTCAGCTGGATAAGTGTGTATCTTAGTGTTGATGCGTCGACAATGAGATTAAAGCGTAATATCCTCTCTTTAAACGCCCAGAGTGTTGTCTGCTGAGCTGCTCAGTTCGAATAGCCACTAACCCGTCGAACGGGTATGAATGCAATAATGAGATAACGAATTTCTAGGTTATCATTGAAATTGGAGCATAATATTTGTAAGATCCGAACTGAGGTTTAGACTGAGGAATAACCGTCCAGTTTAGTTTAGATACGTGCCTTGCCCAGTTTAAAACCAAAACAAGTGATTTGGCTAAATGATGGTTCTAATATTCATCATAAATATAAATGTACATCATTACTGAAAGAAAAATTTCCACTCAGTTATTCCACTAACAATTGTTCAATTAATCAAATCAAAAGCAACAAATAAATGTTACGCTATCCCTTGTGGATAGATTAGATTCGTTCGAAAGATAATATTTGGTTGCTTTATAACACAGAATCTTTCCTATTCTGAAAGAGTGCTTCAATTCACAAACAAAATGCACAATTCCAGTCAATGCAAGTAACACAATCAAAGGAAGAACAAGACAATATGGCTGCCGCCAAGACTAAGTATCAGCTAAAACAACATCAGTGCAATTCAGAACGAAACATAGAAACTCATTGGAGACAAAAGAAACAGAAACTATAATAAAATAAAGATATTACCATCTCAAAATGGAATCGAACAGACTAACAAAATGTACAACTAAAGGAATCGATAAGGACCAATTACAAATGTGTATACATGGAGGGATTTTCACAAACAAAGCCTTCAAAAATGAATCTTACATATTCATGATGGAATACTTTTGTTTGTTCAAAATCTCTAAAACATACAACATAACAACAGCAATCTTAACACAGAACTTACATTTTTGTCTTTAGACTCTTGTTTTTGTCGGTGATTCAATGGATCAATCTTTTCAGATTGTGATATCAAATTATTTTGTACTGTAGTTGTGTAAGGAATATCATTTTTACAAGTAATAGAACATGGTTCATCTAGATTATTTGGTTGTAAAAAGCAGAAGAAGGTCAATTCAACATAGCTGTACGTTACACAGTATAAATTCATCATAATTATAAAAATTTGTTTTTGTACACAAATGATGGTAACATTTAAATATCTAAGTAATAATTTGACAAAATCAATAGATTTCAAATTACCGACTGATTCAAAAGTAACGACTTATTATTATAAGCAGAGATAGATATTACCTAACAGACAGACAGAGAGACAGATGCAATGCAGAACTTCGTACGTACGTACATCATTTCAGGTTACCATACCGCTTTAGCACAGAGACTCAACTGTCAGTTCAAATTCAGTAGTGGTAGCTATAGTAGAAGTGTGAGTCGTAATGGAGAAGATTAGGGGTCGAAGATATGATTCGAGATATCCCGACCGTAGCTGCTACCTTGACGTGGTGGTCGGGCTTACCTATCGTGATGACCCAAACGAGCTACATTGGTTGGAACATATGTTCCTGAAGGTTCTACCATGCCAGACAGGTCGATTGGTGAACGAAGAGACTAAAAGCAGCTACTCAAGGTCTGAGGACGAAGTCGTACTGCTGACTGTAGAGAGGTATGACAGCAGTAAAGTGTTTCTCTCGGACAACCAGCATCTGCAGCGATGTTGCCTTCTCACAAGGAAGGAAGGATTAGAAAATGTGGACTCTAAAAATGTCATACCTCACCTTACTTCACGGATTTCCGTCTCCGTCGTTGTAGGCTGCTCAATAAGGGCTTTTAAATAGAGTGAAGCTAACAGATGCTCAAGAAGCGCATTTTTTTATATATGGAACATGACATCTGGATGTACCTACATCCCAGAGTGGTTGTTTACTCCGAGACTGGAACCAAGTATCATCCATGTTTTCTACTTAGCTATTGGGTTTAGATAGCCACTAGTTTGTGTAATGGGATGAATTTTTAGTTCATATATATATATATATATATATATATATATATATATATATATATGTTTGAATCTTTCAATTAACATTTCAGGATTACAATGAATCAGTTTCTTCAGAAAGAGAGAAAGCTACCACTACCACTACCATTACTACTACTACTACTACTACTACTACTACTACTACTACTACTACTACTACTACTACTACTACTACTACTACTACTACTACTGCTACTACTACTACTACTACTACAACCAATCACCAATAAAAGGAGATAAAATAATTATGCTTTAATTAAGTGATCAAAAATGCGAAGTATTCTGACATTTACTCCTCTTCTCTTAGCTTAAACTGATTACGATAGTTTCCTTAGTATTAATTAATCCATAATCAGTTTTCATTCAGCCAATTAAAACTTATCTAAACTAATAATCAGTCGAACTTCTTGTAAAATATCACTAATCACCAGAAATAGGGATACATTTGAGAATAACACAAAAACTGTTTAGTTCCTTCGAGTAAAACGTAAATTTTTCATTTTTCTCAAAACTAAATCTCTTCGCACTAGAGGCATTTCATTTTTGCTTCGGCCAAATATGTTTTTTTTCTATGGATTTTTAGTCAGTTGCTCTTGAAATAGATGATTTCTTTACTTTACTTACAAAGTCACTATAACAATCACCTGTTTGGTTAGTTCAGTTTACTCTGATATATATATATATATATATATATATATATATATATATATATATATAATAAATATGTTATTTAGACTGTCGATATAGTCAGTGTATAATCGATACTTAGTAGATACGTGACTCTCAAATAATAATAAACACCGCTTAGCTCAAAACTATGAAATACAATAATTTTTTCACATTTTAGAAATTCTTTGCCCAGCAAATACTTACTTCGGTCATTTGACATAATGACTGAATCGATTGGTTACTTATTAATTCGGATAAATAATTGTAGAACCTGATGAAAGCATATTCTTTTTTCATGGGATAATGTTTCACTATAAAGATGTTTTCATATGACTGTGAGTTGGTGGAGAAAATTTGTAGCTCAGTTGTGATGGATCATCGTTACCTGACCTGGATAATGTTTTGGTTGTGGAGCTTTGATTGTTCTTCTACTGAACAACAACATCATCAGCAGCACAAACTTCAGATAAAAGTTTGATGATGTTGTTGTTCAGAAGAACAATGAAAGCTCTACAACCAAAACATTCAACTCAGAGACAATGAAACACCGCCACAAAGACGTTCTGTATTTGAAAACAGTGTTTGCCATAAAGTGAATTGTTTTTTCTGATAAGCCATTGAAAATAGTGAGCACTGGACAGTTTCTGAATCTTATTTTGAAACATCGCGGAAATCTGTTTCTGCAACAGTTAATTAAATCAAGTCCATTATCTTTAAGTATCACGAAATTATGATTTATTTGTTTGCCATATTTTATCTTAAATTAAATCAATAATTACAGTCAGAACAGCTTTTCTGCCTAGTTTAGTCCAAATGTTTGATTTTACTAATTAAAATCTATTTGAGTTAAAAATGGTCCGTTCAAATTTCAATAATTTTGATTAAAATTGTATCAAGTGAAGAAAAAGATTTCATTTGAATTGAAAAGAGTTTTACAGATACAGAAATTTCATATTCAGATAAAATTCCACTCACATATTGATTGATAATGAAAAAAAACGTTTCTATTTAATTTATCTAAAAGAACCTTTAGAAATCGTAAAATCATATGACCAAATAATAATGTAACTCATTGTCAACTTATAGATTTAGATACTAAGCTTTTATTTATTAAATTTTCTCTGTCTCTAAACGAAAGTGCTTGATGTGTGTTTTTACGACAGCAAACCATTACCTCACTAAATAGTGGGTCATATTAAGTTACATTGCTGTGTATACATTAACTCAAATGATTGTTGAATAGTTTAAGGATGCACTACTGAAAGGAACAAGTAAGTGATTGTTAGAAAATGTAGTATTTTCCAGAAAACGCAACATTAATAAGTCGAAAGATAGAGCTTTTTATAAGCGCGATTTTATATTTTTTAAACAGTAGAGATGCTGTTAAATAATTCAAAAACAATTCGAACAATATAACCTCTGCTCTGGGAGTTAGAAGGTCTTCAGTTAGAAAAATCATGGCGTCTTATGATGAAAGCCGAGTGCATTCGAAAGTCATGAGGCCAATGCCCCTACTGACAACCAGAACCCTTTCATGGTGTAAGCAGCCGGGAAATTTCTTCCGCCCTCATACCCATTAAAAACACACGAGACCAAATTGGTCACAATCAAATCCTTTCCACACCTCCTAATAACTATTTTATCTCCTCGACCAAGCCTTCTTTTGAACGTTTTGTCTCCTCGCGCCACTGAAGCAAACGGTCTGAGCTCATGAAAACATTATTCCTGGTCTCCTGAAACCCCGTTAAATTCATTAATATGTGATACTTTCAGTCTGAATGAGAAATACTACAAGATTTTCAAAACTACCCCGGGACTTTTCATCGATATCATCCATGGTTGAAGCGGGAACATATCTCAGACTTTCTTTGGTTTTCCTAAATGTTCGATACTTGGTCAATAATAATTATTTCGTACGAAGTGTATGTTACATTTTGTTCATTAGTTTAACTTGTATGTTCAGAACAGAGTTGACATTTCAATTTGTGTAAAATCAGTTGAATTATATCATAATCTGAGGATAAATAAAGAGAATAGTGCAAAACACACTGTATGTTCTATTAAGTTACAAATATATTTATTTTTTTAGATAACTCTAATTACACTCATCACTGAGACCACTTTTTACAGATATGGAATACACTAATTATTTTAAACAATATAGTCTGTATAGAACTTTCATATAGATTACATAAATAATAGAGTACTATGAAATACAAGTTTTGATTGTATAAGAGTGTTAAGTGCATTTAATGATTAGAAACATGAATTTATTGATTGAACACTATTTTACATAAGCTTACTGAAAATTATAATCATAAATACCAATAATAATAATAATAGTAGTATAAATACTAATAGTTGAGTAGTTTAGTATTATTTTCATTCACACTAAGGTTGAATGACCTTAAAAGAAGCATACAATATGATTACGGATGTTTTTTTAAGCATCATTTTAATATGAACAGTATTTTAGAGTTAATTTGTTGTGTAAACCGCTTAGATTATTGGTTATAATGTTGTGTTTAAACAAACAAACAAAAATCCTGTTAGGCTTGAAAGAGTGATTTTCCTTGGATTTTATGTTTTATGATCATTGTCTCATGATCAGGAGATCGAGTAATTTTATTGATTTATGCTAATCAATACTATCTACAAATATTGATTAGGCTGGTTGAACTTGCAACTAGAAATCGAATTCAAACAATCTAATCTTAATTAAGTGATTTAATGCTTGAATCCATTCGAGAATTACTTCTGGTCCTAAGCCCGGATAAATGAGAAGCGTTAGACATGGGGTTAGCGACCCCATACTAAAAAAATGCTAACCAGGAAAAATAATTCAAACCATTTATACTCTAACCTGGGAGTTGGAAGGCTTTCTTTTAGAGGAGTTATGATGTCTCATGATGAAAGCCGAGTTCCTTTGGAAGTCATGAGACCGATACCCTTTCTGACAATCAGATTAACCATCAGTTTAAGTACATGGAATTTTGGTACATTGTGGGAGTCATCCGAGTTGCTGCAGAAGTGGAAAGATACAACCTGGTGGTACTTGAAATCAGTAAAACACACCAGATGCAAACTGGACAACAAACACTAGCTTCAGGAGAGCTGATGTTATGCTCCGGCCATAAAGAAGAAAATGCCTCATATACACAAGGAGTTACACTGTCGATAGAAACATAAAAGGTACTGATAGGACGGGATTCTGATGGACCCAGGATAATTAAAGTATCATTCAAAATAGGGAAAGAGGGGATCACAACGAATATCATTCAGTGCTATGCGCCAATCAACAATAACTATGAGGATGTTAAGGATCAATTCTATGAGAGTCTATACAGTCAATCTTTGAGAAATTCCCAGTAAACAATTTTATACTATTTTGATGCGAGACCTAAATGCTAAGGCTTGGATAGAAATCACTGGATATAAAGACACCATAGAACGACACGGACTGGAAGAAAAGAACGAAAATGGTAGGAGATTCTATGTGTATTCAACTCAAAACAACTATCAACCAACACTAAAGTTAGAATTCTCAATGCTGACATCAGAACAATTTCAATTGTATGAAGCAGAAATGCAAAAGCCATTATCCGGAAGATACAACAGTTGTCTACGCTAGATACTCTACATCCGTTTACCAGATACCATCAGCAATAACCTACTTTGGGATAGGACAGTCCAGATTCCTGCAGAAGAAGAAATTAGGAAACAATGCTGCAGGTGGATAGGAAACACATTGAGGAAATCATCTAGCTGAGTCACAAGACAAGTCCTTACTTGAAATCTTCAATGCCAAAGGAAAAAACGAAAACCAAAGGACGCGTTACGTCGAGAATCGAAGAAAGGTATTAAAAAAATAAACACCAATGAGACAATACTGGAAAAAGGGCCCAGGACACAGTAGGTTGGAGAATGCTGGTCGGCGGCCTACGCTCCGTTCAAGGTAACAGGCGTGGGTTACAAGCTGAATCACTACCCAATCAGTATATTATCATAGTTTTTAACGACCTAATTATTAGGAATACATATTTCATCAAAGTCGTCAATTTTTAAAAGCCAAAACAAAACACAATAACTAATATATAACAAACCAAAATATCACTTACTATGTTTCATTGAATTATTACTATCTTGTACATAATGATTATTCTCATTATAACTTTGTTCAATAGTTTGACGAGAATTTCTACTGAATTCACGTTCATTCAAATCTACACGATTTCCAGATAATCCACCACTTAAAGGTCTATAATACTGTTTCATTTTTTGTTGCATTGATAAATAGGAAAATTTTGTAGATATTGTACGAACAGATTGATAATCATTATCTTGACATGAATGAGCATATAATTTATTATTATTATGAATAACTACATACTTCGAATTCAAATTTTTGTTTAATTGATCTATTGTTAAATAATTCAATGGATTTTTCAATCTTTTCAATTTTTTACAATTATTATTATTATTATTATTATTATTATTATTTTCTGTTTTTCTAATAAAATGAGAATGTGATTTTTTATTATCTTTTTTATTGTTCAATTGATTCATATTTGAAATTCTTGCACTTTTAATTAAATTATGATTTTGTTTAAATAGAGCATGTCGTCCAGAATAATAATGATTATTTGTTACTGTTGATGAAGTTGAATATTTAACTAATATTGATAACATTTTCATATCTTTTAATACATTTTTAGCTAGATAAATACATGTATATCCATGTTTATTTGGTAAACGAATTGATTTATTGTGATATTGACAGATTGTGTTCACTATTCCATAACTAGAAAATAAAAGTAGTATTGTAGTGAAGGAGAACACAGGTGAGGGCAACCGAATTGTATTTCACGAAAATTACAGAGTTACTCAGTAAAATAGGAAAACCATATCGTAAATCGTTAATTAGCAAATCTTCAATCCATCATCAATCCATTGTCTGACATTTCACTCACTATTCATGTGTTTCATACAAATTCCATTGTGTTCCCACTCTTCCATTCTTGATCTTCCCCCGTCTTCTGCTGCCAGGCATTACGTTTACACTCACGTCATTTACTACTTATAAGTAGCGCGCACCACAGTATGTCTTTTGAAATGAATCAATTTTAAAAATCCCCGGGGGATATCAATCAACCAGGTTATAATAGAAATTTATATTAGTTAAATAATTATTGACATTCAATGTTCATAGAAGTTGAGAGTGCCAAATAATTATCATTCAATAATTCATTTTCTAGACTGACATTGTAACCTTGAAATTCAAAATTTGAATTTCTTGGTGTGCTTTTTTCACAGTTCAATGTTTTTTTTTTGATCAAGAAATTACTCGAATACAACTTCACAGCTGAAACTTTTATGTTTGGAAATTTTTTTCAAAACACCAACAGAGTGAGAAATTGTAGGTACTAATCAATTTAAAGTTAATTTTCACTGATAATTAACATCGCCCAAGAGATCTTTGAATTACAATCGTTCCACCTTAGTTTAAACCTTTACATCATCGTCAGACTGAACAAAACTCTTTATCCACTGCATTCGGCATAGAATGATTTAGATAAGAATTTAACTTAGTGCTTCTAAGGTACGAAATTCAGTAGAAAACGTGAAAGTTTTACGTTCGGTCTCGTGTATATGAGGCTGTAGGCGTGCATCGCTGAGATGTCGCAAACTAAGAGGAAACAACTTTTCTAAATAGTTCTCTAACTGACTTTAGTCTGTGGTAGAAACTAATACTTCACCTTAGAAAATAATACGTACACTGACATATTTTCACTGGTGATTGGTGATTTAGGATGAAAATCTAAAAGTTAGTGTTTCTCGGTTTATAATGTTGATTTTCTTAATGAGAATGTGTTCATGGTCACACATACTACAACTGAAATTTTTATCTTTAACATATTTAATGAATATAGACTATTCAGTAAAAACAAAAAATAAATCATTTCGCATTAAAACCATCATGGTAAACATGTTAACATCTGATTCACGTGCCACAGATCGAATACATTCTTTGATCACATAATATACAAACACAGGACTTCCTATTGGCAAATATAGACTATCTCACTTGAGATCGAACGTACGATATTTAGATGTCAAGGCGAGTGCTTTACATTTAGAGTTAATTCATGATAACCACCGGTCTAAAGGTAAAAAGCTTTATCCAAAAGCCCTGAAAATCTATGACCAAACCATGTCTGAAGCATCTGTGTTTACTGCCGAGAATTCTTATACCAAGACGAAACAGCTGTTCAACGCTTTCTGGCTTTTTCATCGGTTCACCGATTAAGGTCACTTCATGATGTAAACTATAATACTCCATATTCTTCATCGAACCCTTCTCTTAATTCAGTTAGCTTTAAGGATTAGTCAACATAGCATCACTTACTAATGTGTAGAGCTTTGTTTTAATACAAATATTGAGGACAATCTCATATATTTTGACACCCCATCTTTAGCATATAAGCACATATAAGCACATCAGTGGCCAAATTATTTTGAAAGTTTGAACTAACTGACAATTTTAAATCACAATAAGCTAACTACCCGACCATCTGCGATTCTTCTTAAGTTATCCTTTCCCATGATAAATAGTTCAACAAATCACCAGACAAAATCACCAGTTCTATTCAAAAATTAGTAAAAATTTCAAATTTATTACAACAGACTGGATTTGCTTTATCATTTAGTTGAGTATGACATTGTGGCTGTTTAAAAAACTGATTACATTTCATGATATTTCTCTGCATAATACAAATTAATTTCAGCACTAGTATACACATCCTAAATCAGATTAGAAATTTTTAGTCAGCACTTTATTTTCTAATCATATCTCAATGACTCTTTTATAAAAGTAAACATTAAAAAAAATTAGAAACTAAAATTTTTTTTTCAGTTCATTAACATACAGTTTATCTATCACTGCACAATGTAGTGCAGTATTCCCATTTTTATCTGTCAGTGCACAGAATTCATCAAACAGTTTCCCTTTAGAATTTATAACTTCTTTCGGTTTCTTTCCATTTTCTAAACATTGATTTTCTGAATATTTACTTATTATCTCGACATCATGTAACAGTTGATTTATTGTTTCTACATTTTTCGAATAGACCGCCAAATGAAAAGCTGTGCCCTGATTGGCTGATTCAATCTCAGTTGTTTGCATACAAGCTAACTGATAGAGTTCATTTATTCGTGTGAATTTATCATTTGCATTACAATTCAAAAGTGATTTGACTATTGTTGCCAGTCCTAAATGACAAGCTAAATGAAGATTTGTCCAATTATTTTGAAGATTTCTTTGAGTAATATTTACCATATCTGTATTCAAGAGTTTTGTCACCTGAAATTATTTAGAATGAATATGCTATTAGTTAAAATCAAGTTGATATATGTACTCATGAAACTTACCAATGATAAAACGCATACTAAGCTAACTGATTAAATAAAAATTTAGACTAAGAAAACCAGCTGATTATCTTAAATGAAACGTCAAGTATTTCAAATCCAGTCACTATTTGAGAAAGTACAATTTAAAAAATGTTGGATTGTTTCATTTAAGTCATGAATCGATCGATGCTAGAAAACCATTAGATGATGACCGTTTCGTCTTCATGATGTGTCAGATACTAGTATTATAAACGAAGATGTTAAGATCGGACAGAATAAGGGATTTGCATGAAGAAGAAACAGTTTACTAGCAAAATATTTACTTGCAAAGCAATCACATTTTTGGTTACCCTCTTTTATATGTCTTCTGAACTTCAAAATACATTGAGTACGCCATACATCCGGATCCGACACTTTTCTCTTCGTCAGGAACTTATGGGTGACACTCCAGTGCATACCGCTTATAAGCTTACGATGAGAGTAGTCTACACCACACTAGAACGAAACGGCCATCCAAAACGTACAGTTTTCTTGTTGTGATCTAATACTGATCAATTTATGATTTCAATGAAACTAATTAATCTCCACAACCCTTTAATGTTGGATAGGCGTTTCTATCTTTCGAACGCCCGAATATCACAGACTACAGCTCATGTCATACTTAATAACTGAAGTAAAATAAATCTTTTAGATTCTTTTTCCTCAATTATTAGAGGCTGATTGGTCAATGAAAGGTGCATAAATATCGGACTCCAATCAGTCAGTCAGTAACAACGTAGAACTTCGTACGTACGTACGTACATCAGTTCAAGTTGCCATACAATATTAGCACAGAGATGTAATTGTCAATTCAACTCCCATAGTAGTAGAGGTAGTAGAAGTATTAGCAGTAATCGGAAATTTTAGGGTTTGGTGATATTATTCAAGAAGTAGAATCTAGTGAAATAAACTTAAAAAGATAGTGATAGTGATGAGGAATTAAAAAGTTTAGGATTTGAGAAAACACAAAGAATGAATGCACCTGCGCCATTGTAAACGGTTTTGAGTCATGTCATTCAGGGTATCTAACCATCGATCACTATCATCTCGTGGACTTTAACCAGGTAGTCGACACCTACCAACATGACTCAGTCCACTTGTCACTGACTTCATGGGTTTGAGCCATGTTTAGGTCTGGTCACCCTTAGCTTTCTTCCAACCTCTTCCCATACCGCAGAATAGAGCTCGATGAAGCAGTCGTTGGTTAGGCATACGTAACACATGTCCCGACCACCTCGACTGATTAAGTTTCACCACTTCATCAGTTTATTTGCCATTCTTACTTAGCACCCGTTTCCTAATAACAGCATTGCTTACTCGGTTGTCTCATGATACACGAGCAATGTTTCGGAGACACTCATTATCTAAAACAAATAACCTACGAATATCTTCTACTCTGACTTGCCATGTTTCACAACCATACAGTAGGTCGGAGCGAACTACTGCGCAGTACACTCGCCCTTTACTCATCAAACGGATATCTGGCCTACGCCATAGGTGATGCAGGTTCTAGGACCTGACGAAGTGTGAAAATGTGGTCTGTACAGCCATGTTCAGGTCTGAAACCAGCCTGATTTTCTCTAATCTACTCTTCAGAAATACCAGACTGTCGATCATTAAATTTAAAACTGAGTTTTCATCTAATTTATTATGAATAATTTATGCTCAACAGTTAAATTTTTATTCATAATTAATTTTCGTGTAACAATCATATTAAAATGTTTTTTTTTCTTTGCTTAAACTATGTAGTATAAAATGTTAATTAGACAATAATCAGAAGAATCTATAACTGAAATATCATCACAGTGATCTTTGTGTTATGATCGTCTCTAGGTACGCTTCAGACTATTAAGGGTTCACCTTAGTCGATACACGAGAATGAGACAATGAACCCTGTGTCCAGGTAGGCTACTCTGATCCGTTTACCCTAAACAGCCAACAAGAAGTCTTCAAATAGAGTAGAAAGTGTGTTCTACAAACACCCAGCAAGCACACAATGAATTCAAGCATACAAATCCCGTTTATTTATACATCATAGAAACGTCCTTAGGAGAGTCACAAAAATAGCACACTAAAATACACGGCAACCAATCACAGTCAAGGATTTTACTGGTGGGAAATCAAATCTCAAGGTCAGCTGATCAGCTCGTGCTTGGAAACATAAAATGCAAAATTGAGTCATTTATCAAGCGAATTCTGGGGATCTCACGTCCCTAACACGTCATCTCTTCTACTTTTCTTACTTTATAGTTTCGGAAACTTGAACAAACAATCCATAAATCTATGTTAATTACTACTCAGTTTAATTGTGCATTTTAAGGTCATATTATCAAAAGAGAACCCATTTATAAACACTAGTGAGTGATATTGTTGATCAGTTAGTTGTTAAACAATCTATGTGTGTAAAAAAAAACAATTCACATTGAATACTTATGTTACTTATATTTTTTTCGTCTGGTGTGAATTCTTATTTAACCATTTAATAAAAAGAAAAACAACAGAGAGAAAATTTTTTCTCTTTGATTCGTTTTTTTCGTCATACTCTAATGATTGAGAACAATAAGGCGGTATTGATCGATGAGTGGTGTGATATAATAATAATCTAGGTATATATATATAGTTTCAAAGATCAAAATCAGATGTTTAGATTGACATTGTTTGTGTTTTTCTTGATGTTCGAATAAAGTTTTAAGGTTATTGGTTTTTTTTTTCAGATGATACAGCTTAATTGATTAAAAGTGTATTATTAAAATTACATCAAATCTCTTGATGATAAATAATCATTCGTTTTTTTTTAAATATTCAATGAAAATGCAAATGCATTCAAGAGTTTGAATCATTCTCTTGTTCATCTAGTGTGTATCAATGATATAAATGTATATATAAGAGTATAGTCTCCTGGTGATCGACTGGATGATGAAGACATCAGCATCTGGAGGGAAGCACGGTATTCAGTGGACAGCTAGGATGCAGCTGGACGATCTGGACTTCGCAGATGATCTGGCTCTTCTATCGCACACGCAACAACAGATGCAAGAAAAGACGACCAGTGTTGCAGCAGCCTCTGCAGCAGTAGGTCTCAACATACATAAAGGAAAAAGCGAAATTCTCCGATGCAACACAACATGCACCAACCAAATCACTCTTGATGGAGATGCCTTGGAGGACGTTAACATCTTTGCATATCTTGGCAGCATCATCGAAAATCAAGGTGGGTCCGATGCAGATGTGAGGGCGCGTATTGGCAAAGCAAGGGCTGCATATCTACAGTTGAGAAATATCTGGAACTCCAAACAACTTTCAACCAAAACCAAAATTAGGATTTTCAATACAAATGTGAAGACAGTTCTACTGTATAGAGCGGAAACTTGGAGAACTACCAAAGCCATCATCCAGAAGATACAAGTGTTTATGAACAGCTGCCTACGCAAAATACTTCGTATTCGTTGGCCAGACACCATCAGCACCAACGTACTGTGGGAGAGAACAAATCAGATTCCAGTGGAGTTGGAAATCAGGAAGAAGCGGTGGAAGTGGATAGGACACACATTGCGGAAAGCACCCAACTGCGTGACAAGACAAGCCCTCACATGGAATCCTCAAGGCAAAAGGAAAAGAGGAAGACCAAGGAACACATTACGCCGAGAAATAGAGAAAGCTATGAGAGGAATGAACAAACATTGGACAGAACTGGAGAGGGAAGCCCAGGACAGAGTTGTTTGGAGAAAACTCATGTGCGGCCTATGCTTTATTGTGGGAAACAGGCGTAGGTAATGTAAATGTATGTAGGTTTTGAATAAAATGTCCATTACAATCATCTAATACTACCTACTTAAGTCGTTTATGGCTAATTGATCGTAGCGCTTACTGACTTGTTGGAACAATAACAAAGAAAACTGAAAGTTAGAACTTTAAATAAAATCCTCAGTGAAAGTCATACTCTTATATGTAGCATTCACTCACTAAATATTATGGAAAAATGCTAGGTGTTGCATACCTGTTAAACATTGACAAAAATGTATGCGTTACAGAGTTACATCTACAAATGCCTATCATTATTCAAAAATGGTTTTTACTTTGAACATCCAAAATGTGTTTATTAGCTTGATTGATCAAATGTGGCTAATAGGCATTTTAACTCAGGAAACTTAATTAGTAAAAGTAGCTAAATGAAACAATATTCCAAAACAAGCTGTTCAGCCGAAGAACTCTTCGGTAGATGAAATTCAATAGTAATTTAATAGTACCTTGACATGAAAAAAGTATCTTGTTAACTTTACAGCCATTAGCTAATATGTACTAAGGTTTTCGATACAATAGTAAGAATTCGCTGAGATTACAAATGTCAGTATAGGAGAAAAATGAATTTACTTATTACGAAAAAATCCAATTCCTGCACTAATTATCTCTAGATTTGCAACAAAAGATGTATAGGTTTCAGAGGATAATTTTTTAATCCCCATTAATATGAGTTATTGATTATTTGAAATATCCTACTACTGTGAAGAGGAAGTATTTCACCTTTGAAGTTGGAAACAGAGAATTCATCGACCAATAACAGAAATTACAATAATAATCCATATTAGCTTAAGAAGTTGATAAAAGAAGGAAAATCAAATAAATTGATGCAACTATGATGTCATCACTGATACAGATGAAAACTTTTAGCTTTTTCTTCAATATTCCTCGCTTGAATTCAATGCAAGGTCATGATTATATAAATGAACAGTAATAATCAGCACAAAATCATGTTGGTTATTTTACTAACTGTCAACAGGAAGGAAACATGTCATCAACCGTATGCGGTGGTTTGTATTACTCGGTGATCACATTTGTTCTAAGATAGTTTCCCGTAGTGATTGACAGTAACTGTAGAACCAATTAAAACTAGTTATCATTTGATATGGTTACTTAGCCTTAATTTAGAAATCCTCGATAGTTCACATCGCATGCTTACTAAAAATTCAACACTGAACACGTAAGTCTCCAAGTTTTTTTTCCTAAACTATTTATAGTAACTTTTTGATTATGAGTGACGCAGGATTTTTGTACAAACTGTCGAAAAGTCTCAAAGTATGATAAGATAGTTCTTCAGTACACTCAGGCTTTCAATGGTTCTACGATGATAATCACTTCGTAAATCTCTTTTCTTGTGAACCTTATTTAATCTTTGGAAATTGGAGACACTATTTGGTAAATTCGATTCACAGATTGACTGTCAATCTGTTAGGACATTCATCCAATATCCTAAGAGAACTTTTGGTCAATTTCTATCGGTAAATTCCTACTTGTCAATTTTATGGTTGTCCAAGATATCAATGTCAAGTACTCCAATGTTGTTTCTTATTGGTCGTCTTAACTGTCAATGTCACAGAATTCGATGCTGTTCCCTATTCGATCAAAATGTATAAATACGCATTATGTGTAACGTTATATGACCAGGACCCGGTCCCGGATCCCTGGGCCGGGATCCTGATTCTCTTCTGGACTCGGACCTCGTACTTCTGGATGCTTTTAGAGTACATGTTCGACTTCATATCAAGTCTTGTCTTCTTTTACTCAATATGGGGGTTGGAATGATCGGATGCGAGTAGCATGTCGTGTAGCCGGATCCTCGATCCTCGCTCTCGTTTTCCGACTAGGTAAACTCTTAATAGTTCAAGCATATCAAGTTGACGTGTTTACGTGCAGGCGTAACACAATCATTCCATATTCAGATACGCTTAAATAAATAGACCAAATGTATAAATATTATTGGTAATCATGTTAATAATTGATATATGCCATTGATATTATCTTTTTCGTAGAACTTAAACAAATCAACAATTGATATCCCCACACAAATCATTTTATTTTAAAATGTTATCTAAACCAAAGGAAAAGTTAGGCCATCGGACCACTGAGCCGGTATCTAACGGTGTTAGTCGTTCGCACACAATACTGAAGGTCCTGGGTTCGAATCCTGTGGAGTGCAGGAGTCATGGATGCGCACGGCTGAGGAGTCCCATACCAGGACAAAATGGCCGTCCTTCAGTGCTTCCAGGTTTCTAATGGTGGTATAACATTGATCGGTCAATTTATAAATCTTTGAATATTTCATTGAACATTTTGCCCACTATGAATTCAAACACAGAAAACGTGGGTTGTAGTACATGGTCAAACTATGCAATTTCACCTTACAGTTTAACAAATATAATCAAAAATTATCTAAATATATCCATTAAATTTATGAATTAAACTTACCGCCTGATCAAATCCAGCTTCTACAGCAACATAAACAGAATTCGCTCCATCAATCATATAATTTATGACATTTTTTGTAAATTCCAATCCTTTTTCTGTGTTCAGTTTGATTAAAATATCTTCTAATTGTTGAATATTTAAACTGTTAATTGATTGATGTAATGTTTTTGTCCATACAATAATATCTTCATCATTTTCGTTAGTTTGCATTGTAATGCACCCCTTTAAAATTTATTGAACTATTGAACGATGTAATGTGATAAAACAAAGCTATCTTTACAGAAAGATATTAATTTCTATTATAAAATTGTCAAATACAAACTACCTGCAGTTTAATAAGTCAATTTTAAACAAGTAAATTGTTTTTATTTTTTGTCAGTAGAACAAATTGTCGAATTAAATCCAAAAATCTGACTTATAATTTAGAATTTTAACTCGAAAATATACCCTTTATTGATTTTTCAGATGGTTGATTTTTACTCCAGAATTTTCTACCGATTATATGAACAGTTTTTAGAGAAGATTGAGACCATTGAAAAAGTCAGAATATGACACGAGTACATTTGATTTGAATAAGTTCTAGTTTATAATTCAGTAATCGGTTATAAATCTTAACTAATAGACACTAAGAGAAAACCACACAGTAAGAGTCAGTTACAAATGCATTGACCGTAACACTAGATATCAAAATGTGATTTCATAATCTTGACTACCTTAACGAATTAGGAAAGCACACTTTTAGAAAAGTCCAGATTTGATAAGAATTCGTACACAATATTTAACGGCTATAGTTACCCACACTGTTTATGTCCAAGAAGAGTGTTGTATCTACTACTTTTGGATAGTTTCCAGCTACTGAATAACCGATAAATATCTCAGTGTAGCACATCATAACATCGAGGATAAAATATATAATAAACACTACACTGTTATGTATTTTCAAAATTTCTGGTAATCACATAGTTCCTGACAAGACGAAAATGCCTCACAGAATCCGAGTTCATTCAATCAAAACTCCTTGAATAATTAAACTCTAGAAATCTTTAGAATTCAAATTCATGTTATTTAACACTAAAATCAAACTTTTTAGTTGATCAATTGAATTCAGTGATAAATTCAGTTCTGAAGTTATTGAATTCACAAACTAGAAGTATTCGTCAACGCTGAGAAAGAAGCAAAGACATGAGTTATTAATTCTAAAGGGAAATAAAATATAAAATCTGCTACAAAATCACTTATTTGTTTAAAAATTCTTAATTTACCGAAACTACATAGTTGTATATTGATGCTTTTCTACTTGAGATGACTTGAGATTATCATCAATTGCATTCTCACATTGTATCAACGATCGTAGCTATTCATAATATTCAACAAGATTTTATCATATAAGTATCTTGAATTTCAAGTTCAGAATTCATCACCTTTTTAAGAGCTTATAGAAATGTCTATCTTGCATAGATTAACTAAATTAAGAGGCTTGCTTGAGTATATGGGCTACTGGTTTGTTAACATTAAAAAATATTTCAACAAATGATCTCTTTCTGTTTGTTTTAAAGCGTTAATTATAATTATTAATCGCATAATCTATTTATTCATGTGCGTAGACAAAGAGGTTTAAGAACTATCGTCTCACAAGTTACACAAAAGTATAATCCAAGACATCTCGGTGCCTAGAGATCTGTTGATAAAAGAATAAACGTTAATAAGATGTCGATTCCGTTAACTGCTTACTTCTAACTGTCGATCACTTATTGTCTTGTAAGGGAAACTTATTGAAATATTCCGAGCTGAGAATTTCATATTGCACCAAACATTGAATATTGAATAAGGCCACTATTATTATTATTATTATTATTATTATTATCGACTGATCATATTTGTCAAAAAGAAGCTCATAACAATGAATTTCATAACATTCCAAGGTCATTGGTTTAAAACAAAATTTAAAAATCCGGGAAGATGAAGAAAATCCAGGAAAATTCATGAGTTAAGTTTGGTTATGTGATTGAGAAAGCCGCAATATTATTTATTATCGATAGTACCGTCACTCTTCCAACAAATTTCAAATCACGTCATTCATATTTACCTTAATTGTGGTTGGTTGACTTATTTTCCGCCTTATTCCTAAAAATATCATGGAGATCAATTCTCCGATTTTTAATGGAGTTATGAGTACTAGACAAACTTCCTATTCATAAACAACACTTTAGTCTAAACTCAATGTAACAGTCAATACTGGATTATGCAATTAAGAAGGATCATAAACTGGAAATGCAAAGAAGCTTATTTTGGGACAAAACACAATCTTTTCAATTTGAGTTATGGAGATTAGTGTTTTTACACATTTGAAATAATCAACCAATCATTGTTAGACCACTATTAGAAACCTGGAAGCACTGGACGGCCGTTTCGTCCTGGTATGGGACTCATCAGCAGTGCGCATCCACGACTCTTGCTCTTCGCAGGATGTGGAATAGTCAAGAGAAATCCCTAATACACTTCATTTCTTTACTTGTTGATAAAATAACAAATTACGAGTAAACTGAATCTGTCTAATTTCGATTTGTTTATTGCATCCAACATGAAATAAATCAATTCGATTGCTTTTAGTAAATAAGCGCCTTTGACCTACTGACCTTTGACAACTAAAAATGTATTGATTACTATTGATTATTCTAGAATGCCTTGCTTTGTTATTGTTTCTGTTGTCACTGTTATTCAGTTTTCAGTCGGTATGATAAAATTTTTACGAAGCAAAAAATTCCGCGCACTGTGAGAGTAATTTTCATAACAGATTGTCAGTGTACTCATTTATAAATAGTTTTGGTTTGAATTTCCAAAGGATTTAATAGTAATAAGCTGTGGTTGGCATATCAACCTAAATGTAATATAACAAAGCAGCAAACGGTAATAGAGGAGTGTCAAACAATATCATGAACTGATTGATCACGGCTACTGATGAATATCCTTGTGACACTATCGTGCAAGATAGGAAATGTATATTACTGAAAAATCTGTAAATAGAATCAGACCTTGAGTAGCTGCTCTTAGTCTCATCGTTCTCTAGTCGACCTGCCTGGCATGACAGAACCTTCAGGAACATATGTTCCAGCCAATATAGCTCGGTTAGGTCATCACGATAGGCAAGCCAGGGCATCACGTCAAGGTAACAGCTACGGTCGGGTTACAACTGACTGAAATAGAATCAAACAGTTATTCAATGTTCAATGGGTTTCCATGAGAGTATTTTGTCATGAAACTTATTTTCACATCATCGGTATTGCTAATAGTCATATATACTTTAAAATTACATTTTATCTTTTTGTCATTGAGCTGACTAGCGTCTGTACTAAAATAACTATGATCTTGGGTCAAATAGTCTAAACGTCCATTGTAACTCTATCGACTGTTTACGCTTCTTAGCTAACTGAGTCGCTATTATCATAGTATGTTGCTTGTACGCCTGTATGTAAGTGTTTCTGTTATTATCCTGATATTAACTGAAATCCAGTTAATCACAAACAATGTCAGATCTCGGACAGATTTCCACCGATTCAAGTGGATGAGAGAGAATTTTCAAGCAGAAAATTGTAAAAATAGAACTAGTGAAGGTATTAGTCATAGAACAATAACAAATATAGTAAGTTCAAAAAGAATAAATGGCTATAAGGAATAATAAATATGAAGTAATCATATTTAGACAAAGATGAAGAATGAATACAGCCATGATTTTGAACAACATGCTATCAAAAGTCTCTAATCACAGTTTATGATTATCTCATTGATACTGAAATAAAAAGTTTTCATGCTTTTATACGAATGATTCCGCAATTAATAACTTCATATACTTTTTGAATGATATCTTCGATCACTAATCTTTATAATTACCGCTAATATTTCTACTGCCTCTACTACTATGGGATATGAATTGACAATTCAACCTCTGTATGCTAATATAGTGTGGCAAATTGAACTGATTTACGTACGTACGAATTTCTACGTTGTAGCTGACTGACTGACTAATAAATTCATTGACTGAAGTATGATTCAATACAATCAAAAAGTTATCAGGAGCTAATTACCTTAGTATGACCATTTCGTTATAAGTTTTATAGAGGAGATGCGCAGCTAAAACCGCTTCAAATTCAGTTAAAATATCTATACAAAGAAAACAGAAACTCCTACAAATGAAACTAAATTCATATCCACTGCACTAAGTAAGTGACCATTTGGTTGAGTTATCGAAGCAAAAATGCTACTAGGTTAGAGTTCTGGTATGAACGTCAACACTGGAATGGAAGAAAGTTCAGCTGATGAATTCCAAACAGTATCACACATTCGTTTTAACTTGAATAGAATTTAAATACCGTCAGCTTTTTAAACAGTTAAAGTTTTCAGAAAAAATGTCATCCCATCCGTATGTTCCATTTCACACCTTCGCCAACGGATATTTGTCAACCTTCCTGGATCTCTACTGGCAACTTGATAAAAGTGTTACAGATAATCTGTCCATCAGGCTGTCAGGTTGATAAATTACTATGACAAAATGGTAACAGCAGAAATTGATTTATTTGACTGACTTTTAGCCAGTCCAGTTTCTTAGTCTTCATTATTTCTGATCAGAATTCTATTGTCATGATCATCGATTTAATTAGACATGAACGGAATCGTATGTTAGAAATGTTGATTATATTTTTTTCTCCAAATGTTTCGACAGTTATTCATTCAGTCGAATCAATATGTCATTCTGTGTTTACTATGCACAGTATTTCTGTAGTAAATGAAAATCCATGAATTAAGAATGACTGTTTTAAGCATACGATTCTGACTGAGACAATTTACATTCTACTAAATAAATGGTAGTTATCAGATTTTATTCTTCGTTTCTGAATTCTAAAGTATCATAAATTAAATTCTGCGCACAATAAGTCTGATATAAATTCAGATAAATAAATGAATAGAAATTATGCTTGACTAAACAAACTTGTAGAGTTAATCAATGTAAATGACGCAATTAATAAAATAATCACACTTGTATAACTGGACGGCTGTCAAGGACTCATCAGCAGTGCGCACCCACGACTCTTGCGACTAGCATGATTCATACCCGGGATCTTCGGTCTTACACGCTAACGCCTAACCCCTGGACCACTGGGCCACACTTGTATAACTACTCATTATATTCCAGACATTTAGTACAAAGGTGTATT